TCTCTCACCAGGCCACTCTTACTGATGCACATGACTACCCCGGGGTTTGTCCTGGAAATGAGTCCAGGCCGGAGGTCCTATAACTCCTTCATCTTCTCATTTCCTACCCAGAATTCCAGTAAGACATTACTACCTCAGCCAGAGGGGAAAGAAAGCAAAGAGCTGAGGCTGATTTTGAGCATTGTGGGGTTTTTTTTCTCTTCTGCAGGAAGAGCCCACTTCTTCTAGCTGTTGTCTTCAGGGCCTGTTTAGTCCTAGGGCCATCTTGGATTCTAGTCCCTTTTAGAATTTTAGCTGCATTCTGGGATTTCTCTGAGTTCTGCTTTCTGGAGAAAGCTCAGCACAATGTTACCCTGGTGCCAGAATGGGTGCCCCGTTCCTTGCTGTGGAACTTCCTCCTCAGTGGAGGGATTCCTCAGCATCCCCTGGGAACCTCCCATCCCATCACTGGCTCTTCTTCCCAGAAGGAAGGTTCACTAACCACCGGGGTCTCTCTATCCCACCCCTGGCTCTTCTGCCTAGAAGAGCCACTAACCACTGGGGTGTTTTCCAGGAATGGCCTGGGATGCCTAGCTCAGACCTCTTTTTTTTCTCCTGTAAGCCCAGGGAATGAGAGTTCTGCTTGGTTGTAGATATAGTGCTGGGTTCCCACATAAAGAGGTGTTTGCCACCACCCCCTCATGAGAGAAGCATCAGGAGGGCAGACCGGGAGCAGCCCCTACAGCACATATTGGTCCACTGTGATTGGTCATCTAGGTGGCTGTCCTCTGTTGGCTCTGGCTGGCTTCTCTGTATATTTCAAATTTATGTGGGGAGGGGACTCACCCTAGCAGACTCTTGATCCCTACAACTTCATGGGTTTGTCCCTAGAGACCTGATACTTCTGTCACCCGTTGCTGCTGTTGGATGTGACTTCTTAGGCTCTACATCACTGCAGATACAGAACCTTAAAGGACACGCAGGACCTTCAGATTGCACGAAACATTCTGGAAGGGCTATGCAATTGCCTCAGCTTTTAGTCTCCCTTGCAGTCACCAGCGGCCGTTTTGTGAACGCTTGATCTTGACAAGCCTTGATGAATTGGCCCGAACAAAATCATCCTGTAATCCAATCCAGCCACGCTTAGATCGCCACCACTTTATCCTTATCTCATCGAGACCCACGACCTTTAAAATAATCACATTGTCCTCTCCATGTGTCTTTAAGTCCTTGGCTAATGGAGGGGGACACCCCAGCCGCAGGACCTGGCTGTTCCTTCTGTAAAGACATTAGAGACCTCCTCAGATGGCTCTTGCTACGTTTCTCCTAGGTCACACTAGATTTGAGAGCGTTTTGTTGTGTGGAAGAGGGGCAGGAAATTTACACACACGTCCCAGTGCTTAGTCCGGCTTTGGTTTTTCATCCTGAGAAGATCAAGTCTGAGTTGTAGCTATTCTTGCAAATTAACTCAAAAATCCTTTTTGTCAACTTGCAGTTTGAAATGATCAAGAGTTGCCTGTTCTGCAGACACCAGGAAAAAGATGTTCTCATTTGCTCCCGTCTTAAAAATAGAAATATTCATGAGCTGGAAAATGCTTCCCCCTTATAACCTCTCACCCATGCAGAAACTACAACAGGTGGCTGCCCCTGGCCACCTCCCTAAGCAGATGCACTGAACTTCAGTTAGGACACCTGTCTCAATCACTGAATGGGAAGAAGAGAGTCGCTGGATGCAAACACTGGACTAAGGTGATGCTTGCTATGGTTCTGAGGCCAGTGAGCTCACTTCTTCTGATTCTCTTTCTGTGTGGGTTCTAGAAGTTTCTTTCTGTTGCCTTGCCTGCCTCCTGCTCCCTATGTCTGCAGAAGCCTGGCACAGCATCTCTGGAAACTTCTTCCAAATTCAGAACTCACATCCTATTCTTTTTTGGCGTGGTGTGTGTGTGTGTGTGTGTGTGTGTGTGTGTGTGTGTGTGTGTGTGTGTGTAAGGTCAACTTTAAGTATATTTCTTTTTATTGTTTTTCACCTTTGTTTTTAAGACAGTATGTGATAGTTAGAGTTAATTGTCAACTTGACAGAATCTAGAATCACCTGGGAGATGGGGATCTAGGATGCCTGTTGGGACTTATATCTTGATTGTATTGTTGAGGTAGGAACATTTGCCCACTCTGGGTGGCGTTATTCCCTGGCTGGTATCCTTGACTGTATATATGGAGAGAAGGAACTAGGCAGCAGCAGGCCTTGCTTCTCTTCCTGACTGTGGATGCAATGTGACCCGCTGCTTCAAGCTCCTGCCACTTGGATTTCCCTACTCTGATGCACTCTACCCTTGAGCTGTGAGCCAGAACAAGCCCTTTCTCCCTTCAGCTGATTTGTCAGGGAATTTTTAGTCAGTAACAGAAAAGTAGATAAAATATAGGGTCTCTCATTGGCCCAGGCTCTGAATATCTGAACTCAGGTCTTCCTGTTTGCCCAGTAGGCAAATCAAACAAGCCAGTCCTCCAACCTCCACTTGCCAGTTTTAAGAAAGTTCACGCGCACGCCTGTGCATGTGCGTGTGCGTGTGCGTGTGCGTGTGCGTGTGCGTGTGCGTGTGCGTGTGCGTGTGCGTGTGTGTGTGTGTGTGTGTGTGTGTGTGTGTGTGTGTATGCAGATACTGGTACAGGCCAGAAGAGGGAACTGGATTTTCTGGAGCTAGAGTTAAAAGTATTGTGATTAGCCCAACATGGATGCTGGGAACTGAACTCAGGTCTCAAGAAATAGCAGGGAATGCTTATTAACCACTCAGATGTCTCCCCAGGCCCCCATGTCCTATTCTTTTTTTTGTTTTGTTTTTTTTTTTTTTTGTTTTTTTTTTTGGTTTTTCGAGACAGGGTTTCTCTGTGTAGCTTTGCGCCTTTCCTGGGACTCACTTGGTAGCCCAGGCTGGCCTCGAACTCACAGAGATCCGCCTGGCTCTGCCTCCCGAGTGCTGGGATTAAAGGCGTGCGCCACCACCGCCCGGCCCATGTCCTATTCTTAATGAAAGCATAGCAACCTTCTAGAATTCTTTCCCCTCAGCTCAGCCTTCATTTTGTCTTTCAGCTGGAGCACAGGTGCACCCTTCGGGAAGAAGTGAAATAATGACCAAAATTGGCAATTATTTTATCTGGTTTTGTATGAAAAGTTGAGTGTCTCTACCAGTGTTCACTTGCAGAACCCACAAGTACTACCCATCACCCACCCCTTCCTGCCCTGCAGTGGCATCTATGAGCTCCAAAGACATAGTCCACGATCCAGCTACCCTCCAACATTTCCCGATGTCTCTTTTTCTACTTGTTTAGCTGCTTGTTTCTCCATGCACCTGGTGCCTTCTGCCTTCCCTGTATCCGTAACTTCCAGGATATGGCTAGACACTTTTATTTCTGCTTCTAAACTGGAGGGGCTTCTTAGACGAGGTGGTTGACTCATCAGGAGGTCTCAACAAGCCCAGAGAATGTAAATATAAATCAGAGATTCAGAAACATTTTCTGAGTTCAGAATCGCGTTTTCGGTAAAACACTGTCCATATTAGTGCCAAACTGAGAGTCACTAGAGCTGCCTACCCCACAGAATGGGAGCAAAGATGGATGAAACCAGGAACACAGGATCTCATTTGCCAGCAGTAAATGCCTGTAAACAGGAGACGTGTTGGGATGTCACCCTCTCTTGGAGAGACTGAAAGCCTAGCTTTTCTGCTGTCAAACCTGTGTTGGGGGCAAATGTCCCTTCCGAGTGACCTCATCTAGAGCCAGTCTATGTTGATATGTCCCTCTCAGAAAGTGTCACAGCCTCCTATGCTTAGGCTACACATTGACACCAGTTTCTCTGCTTTCAAGAACTCAGCAAGGACGGATCACGGCATGGGATGGAGCAGAGATGTCTCTGCAGTGTCCTTTCTCCACACATTCTTATCTTAAAAGAAATATCAAATCTGCCAAAACACAACAAATCACTGATTTCACAATGTCCTAGGGCTCCCTGGTAAACAAAATCTGGAGAGACGGCTCCAACAGTCAAGCACTTGCTGTGCTCCCATGGGGACCCACATTTGGTCCCCCTGACCCACGTGAAAAACTCGACATGGCATCATGCACTTGTGATCCCCGAGCAGAGACGGAAAGAACTCTTGTGCTCACTGGCCAGCTGGCCTAGACTAATTAGAGAGTCCAGGACTCACTGAGAGACTTGTCTCAAAAACAGTATAGGTAGGGCCGGAGAAGCAACTCTGAGGTTGACCTCTGGCCTTCTTCTACATGCACACAACAGTCCAAATATGTGTGAACCCCCATACAAGAACACACATGTGCACACACATACACCATGCATGCACGTACACTCACATGCACACAACATGCACACACAGACATATGCACACACATCCATGCATGCTTTCATACACATGTACACACACCAAGTTGGTAAAGTTATTATATTGTAAATGTTTCACTGAAGGAAAATTCTTGAAAATGACTCACATTGTATGAATTCAATACTGTGACCCATTCATTCAATAGAACTTTCTAAGGGCTGCTCTACCATGATCCAATCTTTGATAGATATATGAAAGACACTGGTGCTAGTTTCTTACGGTGTACAGGTCTGGTCTTGCCTTGGAAGCCAGCTTGGGGGTTGATCAAGGCACATATGTATTACATTTTGCATTCTCTCCATCCCTGTTCCAGGGCAAACCCATATCATGTTCTTGACCACACTGGTAAAGTAGTTGGGGAATAAGTCGCAGTAGTAAGTGAAATAATTAATGTCAATTAACATGCATCACTTAGTTAGGAAGTAACATTGAGAGCAGAAGAATAAGCAGGCCGTGACCAAGTGTGGGCAGGAATGACTCCAGCAAACACTGTAACTCTCCGGAATGAGTTAGAAGATCGTCCCAAGTAGAAGGGGTCTGAGCTAAGCGGATAGCTTAGTAGGTCGAGCAACTGATTTGCAAGCATGAGGACCTGAGTTTGACCCCAGAATCCACACTGAAAAAATCCTGGTGCTCTCTTCGGCAGCACACGTACTAAAACTGGAACAATACAAAAGATTAGCAAGGCCTCTGTGCAGGATGACATGAAAATTCATCAAGTGCCACAGAAACAACTGATCTGGGTTCATAGGAACTCACAGACTCTGGACTGACAGCCAGGGAGCCTGCATGGGACTGACCTAAGCCCTCTACATAAGTGTGACAGTTGTGAAGCTTGGTCTACTTGTGGGACTCCTGGCAGAGAGAGTGGGGCCTGTCCCTAACACTTTGGCTGGCGTTTAAGAACCTGTTCCTAGTGCTGGGTTGCCTTGCCTAGCCTTAGCACAAGGGGAGGAGCTTAGTCCTACCTCAACTTGATATTTCATGCTTTGTTGACACCCATGGGGAGGCCTGTTCCTTTCTGAATAGAAACAGAGGAGGAGTCAATTGTGGGGGCAGATAGGAGGTGGGGGAGGGAATGGGAAAAGAGAAGGGAAGGAATTGCTGTCAGGATGTAAAATAGATGAAAAAATTTAATTAATAAAAAAATGCAAAAAAAAAATCCTAGGCGTGGGGGTTTGTGCATGTAACCCCTGTGTTGAAAAAGCAGAGGCAGGTAGACCCTTGAGGTCACTAGACAGCCAGCTTAGCATACTGTCTTCATTTGGGTTACTATTGCTGTTATAAAACATCTCGACCAAAAGCAGCTTGAATAGAAAAGTGTTTATTTCAGCTTACAACTCTCAGGTCACACTCCATTGCTGGGGGGAGTTGGGGTAGAGACCTTGGAGGAATGCTGCTTACTGGCTTGGTCCTCGTGGCTCACTCAGTTTTCCTTCTTATACAATCCAGAACTACACGATCAGCTGCATCACTACCCACAATGGACTGGGCCTTCCATCATCATCATTAATCAAGAAAACGTTGGACTGACTTGCCTCCAGGCCAAGTTGAGAGAGGTGTTTTCTCGATTAAGATTCCCTCTTCCCAGATATAGTTAGGCTCAAGTCAAGTTGACAGAAACTCTCTAAGATGTCTGCCTATTTAGCTAGTGATATCCAGGCCAGTTGAGAGACCCTGTATTAAAAAAAAAAAAAAGAAAAAAAAAGAAAAAACAACCAACTAAACAACTAACCAACTAACCAACCAACCAACATCAACACCCACCCCCCCCCAAAAAAAAACAGTAACCAACAAACCACCAGACAAACAAAACACTTAGAGTGGACGGAATCTGAGCAAAGACAACAGAGGTTGTTTTCTCTCTCTCTCTCTCTCTCTCTCTCTCTCTCTCACACACACACACACACACACACACTCAGATTGGAATCTATCCCACAAAAGGAGCCTCCTTGTATCCCTGTAGCTCAAGTACCTTGCCCTGTCTATTTCTGTTTGTACAGTAGCTTTGGAACATCAGTGGCTCCAGCAAGAGAAAGCTGCCTTCACCCTCAGAGGATCCTGTTCCCGTCCCCGCAGGGACATGGGGGTGGAGAGGAGGTGCTGACCCGGGCTCTTGAGAGCTAAGACAACACAAGCACCCACTCACATCTTCTCCAAGACGCGAAATTCGCTTTCAGCTTATTTACCTGAGAATGAATTTCACTTTGAAGAGGCCTTTATGTCGCTGGAGATGAGGCAGCAGAGATATAAGCAATTTGAACAAGGGTACTGCACATTTGTCTTTATAACAATTTGTGTGTAACAGCTTTTATGCAAATGATGCTAAAGTGGCACCTTTTTTTCTAAATTGGACATTTTTATGGTTATAATTTTCTTCTGTAATAACACCAAAAAAAAAGGAAAAGAAAGAAAGAAGCTAGATGACGAAGATGATGAAGAAGGCTGTCCCTGTGGGCTTGAACATCTCAACTTCCAGCACCCTCTCATGAAGTTGGGCTGACAAGTTTCTATCATTTGCACCAAACCTGACAAGAAGAACGCTCTCTGTCTCCTTTTTCTTTGCTTTCAGGGTGGTTAAACTTTAGATGCCCCCATCAGCAACCAACCCTTGGCACTCGGAATGATCCAGCAAGCTTCTCACCCAACTTCCCAGATCCGCCCCTGCCCCCCAATCCCTCTCCTCCCAAGCTGAGAAGCACCAGCCACCTGATTGGATTTTAGTTTCAGCACTTGTTGTGTCTTTTACATTCATCCTCACTTTCCCCCAAGTCAGACAGGTGACTTTTAGAAACAATAGGGTTTAATTGACTTTGATACAATTGGATTTATATACAGTATTCTGGGCAACTATCCCAAGGTACTCATAGAATAATCCACATTATTGTTGCTTAATCGACCGAAAATTTTTGCAGAGGCAACAGAAGACGGTGTATATTTCAAACAATGACTTAAATTTACCCAAGGACTCAGCTAAACAATATATATAATTTGTGGCAGTGGAGGCCTTTGGGATGGGTACAGCTAGAAGGTCGTAGCAAGCGCTGGGGAGGCGGGATAGAGAGAGAGGTGCTGGGAGGAAGCAGAACAGACAATGATGCTTTTTGAGCCTGACCTTGGAAGAGTTGACCTTCTTTCTATGTTTTGGCTCTTCAGCTTTAAAAAATGGTCTTTCTTGACAGTTAAAAAAAAAATTTCAGACAATGGTTTGAAAGGATTGTGTAAATACCTCACTGGGACTTGCTGCAGAGTGTATCTGGGGTTTGGGAATTTGCAGGGAGTAAGGGGAGGAGATACCGAGCGGCATGCTGGTGATAGCATGCGTGTACATTACAGGAAAGAGACTAGAGCTTAGCTTCAGGACATCTCGTATCAAAGGCAGGTGCACAGCTCTTCAGATACTTGGCACTTAGGACAATGTCTGCCCAACTTTTATCTGTACATGTCCAACGTGGCTGGAACCAAATACCTCTGGTGGGGTAATCCACACACAACATACTTGTGTCTTCATCCTCACAGTTATGTAGTCTGGGAAGCCCCCAAACCAAGGCACTAATTGGTTTGGTAGCTGATGATTCTCACTTCCAGGTTAGTACTTTCTGAGACTTCCCATGGTGGGAGAAGGAAAAGGTTCCACCGATCTTCTTGTATAGGGGTTCAAATCCCAAATGTGAGCATGGGGCTCCTGACATAATTACTTCTATTAATACCAGCACATGGAACATTAAATAAATGTCAACTTATGAAGGGGGTTTGTGTAGAAGTACTCAGAGGTCTGCCATCCTCATGTCAGATGAAGTCAGACAGACTTTGTGTAAGGTTCTCACAGAAACAAGAGGACCATTGCATCTCTACTGATGCTTATTATTATTATATTATTATTATATTATTATTATTACTGATACAGGACATCTCTTCTTCTCATCATTGACTTGATTTTCTAAGGCCATCCAGAAGCCACACACCAGCTGTTAATAGCACCCATGCCAAAGGGTTGACCTCTGATATTCACCAAGATAAAACACAGTAGGCATTCCTTGACTTTCACAGACACTACACACCTAGGTCACTTGGCCCTGTTCATTCCTGGAGATCAAGAGAGGAGCAAGATGTGTTCTCTATGCCCAGACAGCTCAGGATTTAATCAGCACAGGGCTTGGTGGGGAGGGAAGGGCCATATGAGGTCACATACTCTTGGGAGAGTGACCTGGAGAGATGCCTGGAGGGTAACCTAGAGAGTGGCCTGGAGGGTGACCTGGAGAGTGGTTGGGGCTGTTGGGGTACTTTGTTTTCTTCCTTAACCTTTGATGAAACATGTACACATACTATTCTATCTCTGTCTCTCTGTCTCTCTGTCTCTCTGTCTCTCTGTCTCTCTCTCTCTCTCTCTCTAAGTGTGTGTGTGTGTGTGTGTGTGTGTGGTGTAGGTATGTGTGGGCACACATACTTGTGTGCATGTGTAGAGGCCAGAGGAGGGCACTGAGCGTCCCCCTCCATCACTCCACACCTACTTCTCTTAAGATAGGGTTTCTCAAGAGTTTATTTTATTTTATTTTTCAGAGAGAGATGGTCTCTTGTCTTTGGGACCTGTGACTTTTCATTCAATCTGCAAGACCTTACAAATTTGTTGTTCCTAAGGTGTGCTGAAGGAGAAAGCACGACCCTATATCCCTTTCTTCGCATTCCCCCTTGTTTGTGACACATCTTCCTGAGATCCGGTCTGCTTGTCACAAACATGGGGAGAGCCGGGAAGATGGCTCAGCAGGTAAAAGGCGTCGTCCACTGAGTCTGAGGGCCTGAGTTCAGTTCCTGGGACCCACAAGGTAGGAGTAGGGAATCAGTTCCCACAGTTGTTCTTTTACTCCCACTGATGTGCTGAGGAATGAATGCATGTACACACACACACACACACACACACACACACACACACACACACACACACTGAAATTTTAAAAAGAAATGGGGGAGATGAGTAAGGGCATCTGACCCCTGCTGGCCATTTCATTAACATCCCTTCATATTCCTCTCCGATTTGATGATTGTGCCAATGGACGGTGACATTAGACTCACCCATCAGCTCATTAATTGGAATTGACGTTTTATTTTTCCAGCAGAAGTCATCTCAGAGATAGGAGGATTACCACCTACAGCCCATTGGACAGATGAAAAAACTGAGTAGCAAGTAGGAGGTACCTGGATATTGGTGACACAAAAGGTCTGCCATCCGGGCCAGCAGATGTCCTTGTGGGAAATCCTGGATGGAAAAATCCCTCCGGGGGTTTCATCCTGCAGATGGAAGTGTGTTGGCAGCTCTGGCTTCACCTTGCTCTCCTGCAGGCAAAACTGCTCAGGGGCCAGTGTGCATACATCAGCATATCTACCCGTCCTTCCAGAAGCCAGACAGAGAGGCGCATCACTATGCTGGGTTGGCTGCACGAGACAAAGCAATTTGCATGGATCCTTTGTGAGCTTTCCCTCACAGTGGTACAAACTCATTAAAATCTCATGAAATTCTCCCACATAACATGTGGAGCAATGCAAGCTGCCGCCCTAAAAGTTAATATGTGTGCATTCAGGGGAGGGTCGGGAGGGGCCCATGTATCGCAGACTGCTCACCATTGGATCCAGTTGCAGTGGACCAGGGGACCTCCTTAGCATATTTTAATTACTGTCTGGATGCCCCTGTAAATAAATGAGCCGGTGGCTGGAGCTTGGAGCAGGCTGGGGACTGAAG